ATAGGAGAACAGAGGACTCTATGGAAGTCAATAAAAAATAGGCGAGATAGGTTGGTAGGACACCTACTCAGGCATGAAGGTCTAGTCAGAGACATATTAGAGGCAGAAACAGGAGTTAGGAGGGGTAGAGGTAGACCTAGATTAGATTACTGTTAGCAAATAGTTAAGGATGTGGGCTGTTCTAGTTTTAGGGAAATGCGAAGATTATCTCAGGATTGGAAAGAGTGGAGGTGCGTGTCCAACCAGTCTTAGGACTGACGACCTTATGATGATGATGATGAATCAAAATCTAATATACGAACAAGCGACAGAAATTGTAACAGTTCGGCCATACCAATGTGTTCTTGTTTACAAGAAAAAGTAAATTATTAATACCATCATAAGGTCGTCAGTCCTAAGACTGGTTGGACACGCACCTCTACTCCTTCCTATCCTGAGCTAATTTTTACATTTCCCTAAAACTAGAACAACCCACATTCTTAACTATTTGCGAAGAGTAATCTAATCTAGGTCTACCTCTACTCCTATTAACTCCTGCTTCTGCCTCTAATATGTCTCTGACTAGACACGCCTGAGAAGGTGTCCTACCAACCTATCTCGCCTATTTTTTATTGACTTCCATTGAGTCTTCTCTTCACCAATTGTTTCTACTACCTCTACATTTTTAACTTTCTCTATCCATGGCATTCTCATCATTCACCGGTAAGTTATCGGCGGCGGCGCTGGCCGACTGTTTTTCTTTTTTCGGGCATAGACAAACAAGCTTGCCAACTACACAAAACTAAAAAAAAGAATAAAAAGCGAAAAATGGATGCGTTCAAAAAGTTTGATTCAAGATAAACATTTCCATAATCAATGCTAAAATGAAATATTGACTTTGGCATATACTGATATGAGTACTTTTAACCGATGCCTGCTCGATACTTAATTTTAAAGTATCGATACTAAAAATTGCTTGCCAACTACACAAAACTAAAAAAAAGAATAAAAAGCGAAAAATGGATGCGTTCAAAAACTTTGATTCAAGATAAACATTTCCATAATCAATGCTAAAATGAAATATTGACTTTGGCATTTACTGATATCAGTACTTTTAACCGATACCTACCCGATACTTAATTTTAAAGTATCGATACTAAAAATACTCGGTATCGGATATACATACTCATTTATAACACTACATTGTAACTGTCAAGGAAAAAGAGTTCCACGAGAAACAACCCGGTCAAAAAAAAACTTTCCCCGGAAAAAGTGTTCCATCGATACAGATCTCTAAAAAATTTTATTTTAAACGAGAGCTGAATTTTTCATTTTTGTAAAAGTGGTTTTTTGCACTTTTAGTTTCAATTTTACTTTTTTTGAATAAGGCTCACAATGATACAGTCTTTGATTTATTTCTTTTATTCCAACAAATTGATTTTGTGCTCCTGAGGGATAGCAAAATTAATTTTATGTGGTCGTCCGGCGTATCAAACGTAAATTGTTCAGAGTTAAATTGAAATATACAATACAAATAACCGAAATATTATTTTTAACATTTGGGTTATGGAATTATAGGACCGAAAAAGTTTAGGTTATCATGCTATGGGGTTTTAAACACGGGCGGTTNTTTTATGAGCGTGGAATTATGCTACTACCAGAAAGATGGCAAAAGGTGTTGGACCAGAACGGTCAATATATAATTTAATAAAGTATTTGTTTGTTATACGAAAACAACCCTATAAAAGATGCCGATACATTAAGGGGATTCAGTGGTACACGCGTCATATAGTAAAAACATGTTTATCGGTTCTAGATATCATGAGTTTAATATTTAGAACAGAGGTTTGAAATTTTGTAGTAAGATAGATAAAGCTTTGTTCTAAAGATTGTCGAAGGGTACTTTTTAATTTTTTTAATTTCTATTGAAAAAACGCGTCCTACACGAAGCATCAACTTTAAGCACTTGTAAAAGCTTCTAATGACCATATTATTGAAAACCAAAAACGTACCGAGTTAGTGTGAACCTTTGTCTATTACCATACAAAAAATTAGATATTTAACAATGTTTAGAATAGAAACTCATGTTTTCGGAAAAATTTACACTGGGCGCGAGCGGTCTATCGCGGTCAATCCCCTTAATAAAAGACACCGAATCCTGTTCAGTTTACCGATTGCAACCGCGAATAATGAAATTTTTAACCGCGGATACAAGAACTGGGTTGCAAATTTTTCGCCCGCGAATAATTAAAACGCGAATAAGGAAACCGTGAATAAGGAACTTTTACTGTACATATTTATTCTTTATAAACAAACGCTTTGTATATTGATAAACGGCAGACAATTTTCTTTGGACATATTGGAACCTGACAAAACGACGACTTTTATAAAGATGAAGGCTACAAAAGGTAACTTCTTAAAAATGGTTCCTGTTACTTTTAATTTGGATTCAACTAAGTCTCCTGGAGCCTTCAGGGATCTACACGGAACCTCGGATTTGACGGAGCACAGTTTAATAAACACTAATCTGAAGGAATTGAGAGATCAGTCTCAATGACAAATGTAGATTCCTGGAGTATTTTTTAGGTTAAAAACTCTTGTTCTTCTTGTTTGCTCACGTGGCCATTAATATGGTCTGTTCAGTTTTAAGATAAGCTAATCTATACGATGCCTTTGGCCTAGATGGAAATTTGGGTAATTGTTTCGTAATACAAACTATATTACACGAATCACTAATAAATAATTAACGTTAAATAGCTTGTTATTACCTCTCTACAAAGTGTTGTTTTATAATGGTTAACTTTTTGCCACCAGATGTCCTCTAAGTGTTCGTCAGGTCCCAATTAATTTATAAAAACAGAACAATAATAGCAATATTGCATTGTATTACGATTAAAATATAACATGTATTGAATTTATTTTTTAGTTTGATTTGTATAACAGAACTCAAAACGAGACTACAAACATTGATTTATCGGATGAAGAATCTCGATTTGCTTCGGCTGCGTCGGAATATTTCAAGTAAGTATACATCTCAACAAAACCATAAATGCGAAAAATAGAGTAAATATACAAGCCATACGTAATCAAATTATTGGTTTTGATTTCGTCTTAAACGTAATTTATTGATTACTAAAACTGGCCAAACAATTGATTCAATATCAAAGAACGTAATTTGATTACACCTTGTATCTGTAAAACTTGGCATCAGGCCTCTCTTTCCCATTGGGCACTCTAGGTAAGTGCCCAGGGCCCCACGATCAACGGAGGTCCCCTATATAGTTCCTGCCTGATCCATCCGCCAACCAAAAGCCGATAATTATTTTATGAAAATTAATCAATAATTGCTGTTAGAATATTTACTTGAATAATCGCTTTTGCGTGCTATAAACGCGAGCATACCTAAATGTAGGTGATTCTTCAAACATTTATATATTCTAAAATTTTGTTACTTTGAATAGCTCTCCAAAGAGAAAAATGCAGAATCTGACTACAAGGACTTGCTTCAAAGAGTAAGACTTAGAAGTTCGCGCTAGACATTTTTTGATGACTCTGCACCGATAGTCCAACTGAGTTGGGAAGAGATATTAAAGTAAAAATACCTTACTTCCCATAATATAAGTGATATCCCAAGCGTGCATCTAAAACAGCGATTGAGTTTGTACGAGGACATTGGTTATTGTTGACATTGTTTGTCGCTTGAAAACTCCAAATCCCGAGACAAAGTTGCAAAGAATTTGCTGCTATGAAGATGTTAACGAGAAAGAGTTAGAAATACAATGTCTGTATTTGACAAACTAATAGCATTTCAGAAGTTTTGATAAAAAAACGAGTTGGAGACACATTTCCAAATGTAGAAATTGCATTGAGAATCTTTTTAAATATGATGGTAACTGAATAAAATAATTCGAAGTGGTCTGTATTCTGTAGAAACTGCCAGACGCGGATCGCGATTTCGATCTTTTTGGATCTCATCAGCGCGTCGCAGGCAGCTTCGACAGAACACAGACCAAACCTTTACCTGCTGTCTTAACAGCGCGTTTTAGAAAATATCACAAATGGCGTGGTGAGCGCCATCTGTAGTACGATGCTACATTTGAGGATGATGGTAACTAACTGTAGTGGCGAACGCTCCTTCTTTAAACGGAAAAGAATAAAAAATATATGCTAAAAGACAAAGAGTTTGAACAACTGGTTGACGATTTTGCATATCTGAAAACTAGAAGGGTAGTGCCCTTTCAAAGTACCAACCTGAGAATGATATTAGAGTTACTTTTTCGAGTTATATTACAATTATCTATTCATTTATGTGAATGTAAAGAAACAAATAACAATCCAAAATAATTCTTCGTCAAAGCTGTAGGGGCCCCGGTAAGCTTATGTGCCCAGGGCCTCCAATAGGTTAAAGACGGCCCTGCTTGGCATCCGTTCAGATTTCAACTTTCTTATCGGCAGGCCCAAGCGTCGTTTTTGTTTTTGTATGCCTTCACAACATACTTATGTATATCGGATAAATACAAGGAACTAAATTGCTTGGCAAAAATTAGCCACTCCCATAACTTTGTCAAAACTCGTTAAATTGTAGTTATCAGAGTTTTTTTCTTTGTATACACCTCATGATTCGAGAAACACCATAGGATTATTCACTAATGTTAGTTACGAACGTTTATTAAAGAACTGCATGCTGGTGTATCTCATACTTTGTCAGTTTTTAAATGATTACGATTTTCGATCTCTTTTTAGAAGAAGTCGTTAAGTAAAAAATGATAAATAGTGAGAAAAAAGCTTAAGAAAGGGGTCTCCAAAATTTTTCTATTTTAATACTCAAATAAATGCAAATACATTGTAGCGAGCACGAGCGTGTTTGTGTGCGATCGGGCATACGTGTGTGTGAGCGGCTTATCGATTCGTTGACTAGCCGCGGGCGTCTTTCTTCATGTGCCCCGTATCTCTAAACGTGTGTATCGTACCTGCGTTCCGGGAAAGCAATTAAACAGTTCAAAGAAAACGAGACTTTTCTGGGCGGCTCGAGAAAGTTCCCGAAAGGGACCAAAAGAGTATTTAAACGAAGAGACGATCGCCGAGAAGAGTAGAAATAAATTGACCGTTGAAGAATTGAATCAAGAAATAAATTGACAGTGATAGAAGTGAAATAAATAGAACAGTAGTGTAAATAAATAGAATAATTACCTAAGTTTGATAATAATTTAATAGTGTTTTTAAGTTCAATAATAATTAGTGTAAATAAATAGTTTTCTTCTTAAAAGTTAATTTGTTAAACCCACGAACATTACAATATGTACAAAATATGAATAAAAGTTTGTCCGTTTCTTTCGTTCTTTTTTTTTGTATCCACTACACAACTCATATCGGTTTGTATCTGTATCGTGTTATAATGCTTTTAATTTAAGAAATGCTTCTCTTTATTCTAGGCAAATAACGATAACACCATCTTTACGTATGAAGAATATATAAACAATTGTAGAGAAGAACCATCTCGTGCTGTAATACAATTCATGTTGGACATGGATACCTATGCAAATCTATTTGAACATTGCAATGTTAATTGCTTGCTCGAAATCATGTTTTTAGCTGTACATCCTGATTTTGTACAAAAAGGTGTTGGAAAAGCACTTTGTACAACTGTAATTGAATTAGCAAGGAAGCTAAATTGTGGTGAAAATGTAAAAGTTCCATTGGATGACAAACCTTTGGGTTTAGAACCTCGACCGCGTATTGTAATTGCAGCGTTCACGTCATTTATAAGTCAAAGAATTGGCAAGTTCCTTGGTTTCCAGAAAATTGTCGAAATTGATTATGAAAACTTTTCATATCAAGGTGTAACTTACAAAACATCGGTAGGTTCTCATACTCCTACCACTACTTTAGAATACTATAAATTATGAACTGATTGATTGTAAAATCAGTAAGAAGTGTTAGGTAATTCATTCGTATATTTCATACACCACATGGTATCATATACACCTTAGTCGTCAATAATCCTTTGAAATTTATATTAAATTAGCATCGTTGGTGTGTTAGTTACTGTAAATTGTACATGCTCGGTATATTGTTATGTACAATTTTATGCACTATGTCTGATCAGTATTCCGAAATTTTTGAAAAGTAGCATCTGGAGGCACTGTAGAGTACATCTCATGATAGCACCACAACGATAGGTATGTAAAATGTATGCACAAAATTACCCCAATTACCGGGCCGCCAATGATTGAGAACAGTTAACAGTTTCGTAACCGCATTATCTTATCGCCTTTCAATATCGCAAGCGTTAACTGACGAAACACATATACCTATTCGTGACTTTCGCAACAGCTGACATAAACAGGTCAATTTCACGTAATGATTAGTAAAAATCTGCGTCCGTTGCGTTTGATTGGCAAAGTTACTGCTAATACCACAAAATACAAAAATAAATTGAGTGTGAAAATATGAAGATAAACCAATGTATTCACATGTATAATATGTTGGTCACACATGGATGGTTCAGTGGCGGCATCACGCGAATACGCGTTATAATCATCATTACCGGAACGGTTGGAGCTTTTGGTAAGTTTATGTCCCTGAGTAGTGCGAGATGGCTCATTCTATTTGTTCTTTATATTTATGCCTTCCTCTCCCTTAATTTTTTCGGAGTACTAATCAGACCTAATGTATATTGTTTAGATATAGGTAATGAAATATATACCTACATACTCTTGCTGATGAAACAAACGAAGCACTAATTGGATCATTTCCCAAAAGAATATATGATTTGTTAGAATTGTATCAAATTTTCTAATTTTTTCGTTCTAATTACTGGTTTCAATGTTGGTGTCTAAAATAATAAAAACTTTATCTGAAGTTAAATTTAATTATTTAATAAACATTAACTATATTTTATCTAGCTACTATGGTAATAAATGTACCAAAAAAAAATCGCAGTCCTTCAACTATCCGCAGTCACTTACACAAAACATGTTATAAGTATTTATTGCTGAATTACACATTTCCTTTACATGTTGTACTCTTTTAACAACACTAACACCGGAATGTTTATATTCAAGACAAAACAAACGTTAACGCATGAATAGTTATAGTACATGAAAAATGCAGTGCTTGTTGTCAATTCGAAGGTGGTCGCTCATGCCCACACCTGCCGAAATTATTCAGAGTCGCATTCACACATTTTGTGTATTTTTCGATAATGATTGCTTTAAAGAAAGAAATTTTCTG